GAAAAGATCTCTGAATACAACTACAAACAGCAAGAGCCAAAGGGATCCAGCAAATCAGCTCAAACTAAAGCAGAATGAATAGAGGAAGAATTTGTATTTGTTTCGAGACAATTTTTACCACAAATCACTACTTTCTTTGTCGTTTGCGGTTCCTAACATAGATCGGAAATCAGGTGGGGCCTAATCTGAAATTATTGCTGTTGGATTAAGTCAATGAGCTCTGTCTCTGGAGCGGTGTCCAGTCACTGGACCATGGGCATGTCCAACCTGGTCCCACAGCTGCAGCTTTACCAGAAATGTTTAGGAATAAACCAAACAGTGCATCATATCCTCACATCTATCATCCAGCTGCTTTACACACCACTGTGCAGCAAGCAGTCAGAGCACTGACTCTGATCAGCCCTTTGGAGTAAAGTCCACTTTATCTCCTCCACGTTCCGTTTTTTTTTTGCACTAACTAGTCTCCTTACCTGTGAATCTACAGGTGGTTGTGCATGCCGATGGTTTGGAGACCTCAGAGCGCGGCGAAGCCAGTCCAGATCTGCTGGGATCTCCTCTGCAGCTGCCTGGGGAAGCTAACAGGATTAACCTGCATCACCTGAAGGTCGGGCCACAGTCAGATTAACGTCACAGAACCAAATACAATCAACCCACCTTCAGAGGAAAAGTTTGTCCAAATTAATCTCAGGTATCCTCTGGGGGTCACCGTCCCACACAGTTTCAACACCACTTTAAATGCAATGTCTAAATAAATCACAGACCACAAGAGTAATCAGGCAACACCTGAGATTGACTTAAATTAAATTTATTTAGAGGTATCAGAGTAAAAGGCACTGAAGACGGGTGGCTAGAGAGAGTTGTTATGCTTCTGTTCTGTTGCAGGAACCCAGAGAGAACCAATAACCCAGAACTTTAATGGATGGCAGCAGTGCTGAACGATTTCAAACCTGTGATCCTATTTAGCATAATGGTGATACCATCACCTGTTTTGTGCTCCAAGATGCTCAAGAATGAGCAGAAACAGTGAAAATGCCTTTGCTTAGAAGAAAGTAAATTCATATTCAACATACTAATTTCTGTTGTTAGTAACTTATTTGTCAATGCAATTTTAAGGGAGGGAGCAGTAAGTAGCTTGCAGCATCAGGGGAACATTGTTTTGGGATTCTGAGGGGATTCAAACTGGAGACCTTGATGCCCTGCTCATCTAGATAGCTGCAGTAATACAGCGTTTTGGATAAGCTCAGCATTTAGGCTCTGTTTCAGAGCGTGACATTTTTATCTGTGCAGGAAATCCAGGAAGATTTCCCTCATAATTATTATACCGGTTCTAAAAAAACTGTTTTAGTTTTTAACCTCCTGGTTAGAAGTATGACCAGCTTCACAGTTAAATTAGCATTAAAGTCACCAAAACTGGCAAAAAACAACAACAACGAGAACACACTAGAGGAGTTGTGTTTAATGATTAAAGAGATCAGCCCTACAATGAGGCGCCGCCCTGAAAGGAAGGAGGAGGGCGAAGAGACATGATGTGATGATGTCACAGGGTAATCAAAAGGGGTTCAGGTTGGCCCTTGTTTTACAAATATTTATCTGTTATCAGCTTGTTTTACATTTTCAGGTGAGGCTCAGAAAGCAAAAAAAAAACAAACCCCCCCCCCACCAAAATTTTTAAAGAACATTGGACCATGAAGATCATCTAATATCAGAGATGAGTCCCTCTCCTTAACCGTCTGCTTCGACTGATCCCACCACTTTCCAATCAGACCTGCTTTCATCTGCAAAAGCATTGGAGGGCCAGGAGGCAGTGGGTAGATCCTATTATCAGCTCAGCATGGGATAAGCTCCATCAGGTCCAGGACACGGACCGCAAAGGCTTCAGCCCTGACCAAACATCTGGATTGGACCCGGGACATAAAGGTCAGCGCACAGGTTGTCTCCAGACAGTATGGGAATGTGCAGGAGACCACAGGTCTGCAAAGCTGGATACAGGCCATAAGTGTGAGGAATGGAGGAGAGAGCAGATGCAGACGTAAAGCTGCTGTGGATGATCTGTGATGGAGGCTAATCCTGATTAGCTCCGACATACAGAGCAGCAGGACACTGGACAAAGACATTTGTCTCCTCCTAGTTCATTTACAGCAATAAAACCATCTTCATTCACTTTAATAGAGAGAAAAAATATTCAATTTGCATAAATAAATGAGACTGTATTAAAAAGATGAACAATGATAGTGAGTCTTGGGTGTTTTTTTTTTTTTTTTTCTCATGCAGTTTCCTGCACATCTTCCTGGTTTGGTTTCCATCCTAAAGTCTTTGAGATCGTCCACAGAAATTTCTGGCCTTTTTTTTTGGCCCTCCAAGCAACCTTTAAACTAAAGTTTGTTTGAATTATGTCTGGAACGACCAATTTTCCGTTTAGGTTCCCGTATCCAGAATGTCTAAAACACAACCACCTGTCTGATTCCTTACTATTCACAGACTGAACACCAAATTGAACAGTCCTCTTTGAGTCACAGATTCAGCAGCAGGATTATGTGGTTTCTTTATATTACTACACTTACTTGGACATTATTTACCAAGCAGAAATATGACTTCTACTCAAAGTCAACTGATGTTACTTTGAACGAAGCTGTAGCTCCATCCATCCTCTCATCAAATCCTCCCCATAGCATGATGCCACGACCATTGTGCTTCACAGCAGACTTTGTGGATTCATGATTCAAATTGTCTAAACTGATCTTCTTTATGTATTTGCTGTGTCTCTTACAAGGCTTGTGACAAACTGCAAACAGGACTTTTTCTGGTTTTCTTTTTGTTCCTCCTCCATATTAGTCAAATGCATATCACAGCCATCATGGCGTTTGCTACACGTTCTCTAAAGAACGTCTGAGGCAGGAAAACCCTGGAGCAAAAAATATATATCTCATGTGTTCAAGCAGACACTGACCAATTCAAAGAAATAATTAAATCTGCAGATGAAAATAAACAAAAACTTCTGAAATATTTGTTAATTTACAATAACAATCAAGATATAATCACATTTAATTTCCTATTGGCATTAATAAAGCACCTTTCAATTTAAATTGCATCATTTTAGTTTAAATATTAACCGCTCTCTTCTTTACTTTTGTTTCCTTCAGTTTGTTTATTTTTTTTTCTTACTGTGAACTTTTTGAAGCAGCAGTGCCCTCTTGTGGTGAATCAGGAACATGACGAATCAAAGGAGCCACGTTAGTTTTAATGTGAAACCTTTAATGTGCTCTACACAAGTCCACAGGCCCAAAACAACATGACCTGCATGCATCAACATAGTCATAACAATCTACTGTCCTTAAAGAAAACCTACAAAATCACATTGTAAAAAACTAAAAAAAAATAGCAGGCAGACAAGAGCAAGGAAGTGGTTCTCTATTTGTATTTATATCAAAGAAACGATGCATTAAAACATGTGACTCCAGAGTTTACTGTAGTAAACTTGAAAAAAAGGACAGAAGGAGTGGGACACCCTGCAGAAAAAAACATATAGACAATATCTAGTTACATCTAACAGATGGTCTTTTGCATTAATAACAGGTTTTCCACAAGTGGAGGAGAAAATGAAAATAAATCAAGCTTCAACAACTATACAGAAGGAAAAACAATGATTAAAAACAAACAAAAGGAATAAAGAAAGACATCAGCTTTTTTCTAACAACCCAGAGGTGCTAAAAAACAGACGAGGACTCAGTCGTTCAATCTGGGTCAGGAAGAGCAACGCCAGCATTGCCCCTCCTTCCTTCCTCCCTTCCATCTCTCCTCTGTCCCTCCTTCTTTTTCAAGAGTCATGGAAAAATACCCCCCCACCCCCCAACCTTTTTTCTTTACTCATTCTTTCTTCTCGTCTCCTATGATCATTCTTACGGGCAGATTTTTCTACCCCCTTCTTATCCTCCTCCTCTCATGCTTTACACTAGTAAATCAGCAACATGTGGGTTTAATCCAAACCAGACCTTGACTTGTTCTGACGCAGCCTGCAGATTTCAGCTTTTACTCTTTTGCTTCACAACTTCACAAAATCAACAGAGGAACAAAGAGGCCCTGCTGCATCTTGTAACTTGCTTACAAAACTATAGACATTTGGAAAGCACGGCGTCCGTCACTTTAGATCCTCTTATAAAAATACAGTCCCAGAACTGAAACAGAGAGAGAAATGCATTGGCCTGCTGGGACTTTGTTTTAGTGCTGTAGGCGGAGCTGCGTAAAGTTGGTTCTAAGGGACTCTGCATGTGAACATTCATAAACAGATGAGCAAATCATGTGACACTGGATCATGTGTATTAGAGGTGGGGGGAACATGAAGGGCTCAGTGGGAGACGGGCGGTCACAGACATGCAGCTGTCCAACATTCCTGCCTTAGTCGCAGCTTCACAGAAAGGATCTCTGCTCTGCAAAACACAGGAAGGAGCAAACCAAAGTGCAAGACAAAAACACCAGAATGAGGCCATGAACCTGAAGACAGCACAGCAAAGACCTGATCAACATTGGTTCCTGTTCTACAGAGACATGCAAAAGTATCCACAGCCTTTAATCGATCCGGTCACAAGCAAATACTTTCTATTGGGCTTTTAATTCGAACGGAAAGCAGTGTAGAACTGGGGGGTAGGAGGGAAACGATTCATGAGGTTTAAAGCTTTTTACAAAAACAACTCAGGAAAATGGGCTGCGGATTAGGATTCACTTTCCTTTACTCTGATACCCTATTAAGACTATTTAAATCCAGTCTAACGGCAGATCTTCTGGTCCTGGCCTCAGAGGTTGTTTTGAGAACAACAAGCATCATAGAGACCAAAGAACTCAGCAGATGGGTCAGGTTATTAATGATGGACCACATGCAGACCTACAAGGACATAGACATCCACCTAAACTGACTGGCTGGAGGAGGAGAGCATTATTTAGAGAATCAGCTTGTCTATAGAGAGCCACCTCTCAGGAGAGATAGTATATCCAGGGGACACGTTTTAGTGGTGAACCCCATAAATCTGGTCATTTCAGAAGAGGAGCAGGGAGAAAGGTGGAAGATGTCCTTCTAGCAGTTTGCTACAAGCCAAATAGGACAAAAGTACAGGTAGCTTTGATCGGACACGTTTATATATGGATTTAAATAACATCCTGAGCCCAGAATCCTCATGTGAAAGCAGGATGGAGATAAATCAAGGAAGACATTGTAGGAAAAAAAAAAAACAACAAAAACTTCATCCAGGTATGGATCCCATTCTCTTCTGTTCTACACTGCTTTGTTAAGTTCATCTTAAAAGATCCAAATAACATAAACCTATAAGCTTTTGGTTGTGACTCATGATAAAGCTAAAGGAAGGTGAATATTTTTTTACAGGTCTCAGTAATAACTGAAGCATATTTGTCAGTTTTTATGTGTGTTCTGTGTAATTTATGTGCTCTAGTGACTTTTCTGCATTTGTTCTCCAGCTGGATCCCTCAGACAATAAGAAATAGCAGAAACAGTTATTGGAAAGCATGCTGCTCTTTCTACTGCCCAGACAACTTGGCTAAAGATATTTTACGCAGTGATACATTTCTAAGGAACACAGGCCTTATTGCAGGCTATTTAAAAGGCAGAGAGAACAGGACTCTGGCAGAGCTACGATCAAGGCCAGAGTGAGGAAACTGTAGCTCCACAGGCACTGACCTCACTACTTTTCTGCAGGAATAAGAGGAGCCAAAACGCTGAGGTAATTCTACTCTGAGACCTCTGTTCCCCACACATTCAATTAAACTCAATACCAGCGACCGCACTGTATAGATGACAAACACCTGTCCAGCGTTTCTCACTGGTCACACCCAGTCCTGCAGTGAACGTTTGCAGTGCACCAAGGCTCTTGGGGTTTCCTTGTTCTGCAGAGTTCTGAGGATGGCGTAGATCAGGACGAGGATGCACAAGATGAGCACTAAAGGCACAGTGACCATGATCAGAGTCATGACCTTCGATTCGTTGTCGGCCACGGTGACGACCACGTTCACCTCTTTGTCCTTGTCTTCATCTGTGCTGTCAGGTCTGGTCACCACATCCTGGTCGCTGTCTGGGTTTGTGGGATCACCTTTTCCTGGGTGTGTTGGATGGACCGGTTTCTCCTCAAGCTTTGGATCTGGGTCCGGCTTTGGATCTGGGTCTGGCTTTGGATCAGGGACTCCAACACAGCCCATGAAATCCTTCAGGATGGAGCGGGGGTAGCCTTTGTCTGCCTCTGATCTGTGGTTGTCAAATCTCCAGTAATTGGAGCCTTTGTAGAAATAGGTGTAGGCTGCAGGGAAGGATAAGACAATGAGGCTGTGATGGTAAAGCATTATCTCGAAGAACATCAGTATACTAAGCTTGATTCTCTATAGAGGCTAACAGTGGTGGAGACACAAGGAGGCATTGTTTCCAACTCACATATGCTGGTTAACAACTGGCATATGACAGCTAGCAGCTGGCATAAACCAGTTTCCAGCTGGCATATACCATTGGCTACTTTTTGGCTCTAGGTGATGCTGGTTGTTTAAGACAAACCTGCTGCACAGCTGGTTCATCTTTCTTTCCTTGGGTGGCGATAATGATAACATAGCTGTCTTCTAACAGACCAATTATTAGGGTCTGTCAATAGGAGCAGTTTCTTATGAGGTACCAGCACTTTCTAACACATAAGCAAACCTGTTTACAACAAGAGATGCACCGATCCGATCCGATATTGACTAATTAGCTGGATCTGATATTGATTATTTGATATTGGAGATCCAATTCAGTGCACTTTTCCTGGAACTGCTATTTATTTCTTTTTTACTGCTTATTTGTTATTAAAAAATATAAAGCACATTTATATCCATGTTAGTTTGTTACTATTTTTCAACAATGTTTATGTCAAGGCTAAAGTACGGTGGACGACAGGTGCAAACACGCAGTAAATGATGAAACGAGCTGCAAAAATACGTGTGATGCAAACTCTAAAACAGAGCACAACACAAGCACAAAGGGCAAAACAAATGCAAAAAAAATGCTGCAAACAGGTGAAAATGTGCAGCAAACAGTGAAATGAGCTGCAAACATACGTACAATGCATACTCCAAAAAAAACCCACACAAACAGAGAAAAAAAACAAAGGCAACAGAAAACTTATGCAAAAAGAAAATTATGCAATCAGTAAAAAATAGAAGCAAAAAAGCTATAAACAACAAATTAATGCAAACAAAAAATATACAGCAAGCATAAACAAAATGCTGGGACCCCAGAATGAAAACAATGCAAATATCAAAAACAGCTGCAGGCTCTCTCTCTACAAAATTGGAAGTGTTCCCGCCCACTAGTGGGAGTTGAAGAAAGAGCTAACCTAATAAAGCCTTTACTCTCATGGTGAGATATATGGTTCAATCATTTAACATTTGAATTGGATCAATGATTGGATCGGAAAAAACAGAAAACGTTTCTCAGGCTCTGGCCTTAATCCCATGAATTATGATCAGCTTGTCAAATAAAGTACCATTAGGATGCCATCAGGAACCAAACATTTTAGAGTTTAAGCCCCTTGCCTGCACACTGGTCTCTGCAGAGGCAGTTTGAGTGAAAAAGTAAATCTGAGGAGCATCATTCAAAGCTGTTCTACCATGAATCAACAGTCTAAAGGAGAGACAGTCCAAAAATTAGACTCTGTCCCTCTCTCTGCTCTACTTCTTTCAGCCTATCCAGTCTTTTTTGTTTTTGCACACTTCAATCCAGCAGGCTAACTTTCCACTCTGCGCCCTCCCTCTCTGCTTCTCATCTGTTTCTGCTGGTTTCCAGTTTTATTACTAAAAACACACACATTGCTGCTCTCATAAAAAGCAACGGGCTGTGCTAATGGTCCCTATTTCAAAATAAAAGCCTGGAAAAATCCCAATACCTCCATCATCACTAAGGAAGGCTCCCCTGGGAGAGGGAGGGATCCTGCCCCATCTGCTGATTGGTTTGGGAAAGTCGCGGTCTGCAGTCCGCGTCTCCTCATTGTAACGCCAGTACCTGCAAAAAAGCAACCGTTAATGCCACTAATGAGCAGCCAGAGAGGCTCACCTTGGTCGCTGTGTCACTTACCTGTCTCCACTGAAGAAGTATGTGTACTCATTAGGCTCCCACCAAATAGCTGTGTCAATCTTGTGTGTGGGAATTCCTCGCCCATACTGATAGAGGGGCTGCGGATACCCAGGCAGCACGTCGGCCTCCCTAAACAGCCAATATCTATCATCTGCAAGGACAGAAAATCGGGATAATGTTAGCTAGTTCATTAATAAATTAATATTAATAATTTAATCAAACTCCTCACAACTTAAACATACAATAAGCTGCTGCAATCTGACCCAAACAGTTATCAGCTATCTACACACTGACCCACTTTTACAAAGGGTGGTCCAATGACCCAAACTTCTCTCTACGGACAGACACAAATATAAAAGCTCTTTACAGACAGACCCCAAACAGTTTTCTATAGACTGATCCACACGGATATTTAAAGACTGACCAAAATAACTCTCTACAGAGACTGACCCAATGACCCAAACATCTATTTACAGACAGATCCAAAAAGCTCTCTATAGACTGGTCCGATGACCAGTGGCAGTTCTAGACTAAATTTACCAAGGAGGGGGACTAAGGAATAACACACAAAAAAAACAAAGCAAGAGCGAAGATTTAAGTTTATTAAATCAGCCACAAACCTGTAATTTCTGTAATTCTTAAAGATAGGATATTTAATTTTATCTAAGGGACAAATCAGTTGCTGTCTCATTGGCAATGCATATCATCATAAGAAACTGATTTAGTATTAAACTTCAAATATCCATCTAAATAGTCATGTTTTTTTTTAAATCTTTGCATTTGCCCTTAATCTGAGCTGGTAAAGAAGGAGGAAGGACGGGTTTGGGATCTTTAAACAAAAATAATTAGATACCATGCACTTGAAATAAGATGGATGTTTTCTTTTTAAAACATAATTCATCTTATTTCATCTGCAAATCTTGTCATCTAACTGATTAAAAATTTTAATACCCATTTAGAGAAAATTTGACTTACATTTTGCAGGTTATATTTTCATAACAGGAGCACTGGATCCTGCTTAACCCTGTCTGGAATCGCCCATGCCAAAAGAACTTTCTAAAGACTGACTCCATGACCCAAACATCCCTTCACAGAAAGATCCAAACTCAGCCAAAACAGTTCTTTACAGACTGATTCAAAGAACCTTGTACGAGCGATAGTTAGGCTATTTTTAAGCTATTTCTAATTATCTGCTGCAGCCATATCTTTCTGCTTTGCCTCTTTACTAATTACGCCTACTCCAAATTCTTTTCATAATTTCTCCATGTTAGGAGGCATTGTTCATATTTCCCCTTAATATGCAAACAATCAGACTGACCTAGAAAGACATTGTGCTTATCCACCTGTGGCTGCTCGCTTCAAAGATTGCTCATTGTTGGGGCAGGAGCAGACATGCTCACCTGCCTGCAAGAGCACTCAGAGTGAGACTGAGTTGATGACAGAGTTTGAATGCCGCAGGGTTCATGTTTTTATTGTGCTTCCTCATGTATATGTGCAAATAAGGAGCAAAATATTTAAATATGTAAAATCACAGTTTCAGAAGCTTCAATGCCGATCAACATTCAGCATATGGGCCTAATTTCAGGGTATTTTTTTCCAATACGTTCAGTGAAACCAGCAGTTGAACTGAAATGTGCTGGACAGAACACTGGGGAGGGAAACCCAGGTGTAAGTCAAAGAACAGCTGTGACATTTTTCAGCTGCAATGCTGAAATAGGCTCTGAATCACTCTCTGGTTACATGAATTGATCTTTAGGTATCAATATGAGAATATGAGAAACTGGAAAATTTATTTATTTTAAACAAAGCAATCACAAAGAGAAGTACCCTGTGGACTTTACTGTACCTCACTTTTGAATGGTCCCCACGCTATACCAGATTACTAAAAGAACAAATATAAACCCAAACATTACTTTTTAGCATCTGGAGATGAAGATTTGAACAGCCAAACCCCGATCAGACCCAATTAAAGGAAATTGATGGTTCACATTTCTAAACTACTCGTTACATTTCTATAGAAACAGGCTGTGTTTCTATAGAAATAGAAACACAGCCCGCTCTAATCACTATTTATGGCACTAAATAGCAGTTAAGCTATTTTAAATGAGTGTCCAAACGACTAGTGGACGAAAACATTGTGGACTCAAAATTTCCCACAATGCACCTTGAAAAGTATTGATTGTAACTACTTGTCCATCCCGGAAGCACGATCCATACCATCAGCTCATTTGCACAACCAGATATACATTCAGGTTCCCCTCAATTATATTTTATAAAAAAAAGGCCTTAATTTAATTTTTTTTTTCCTCCCCAAAAATAGTAAGCATACTTATAACTATAATGTGTTAAAAGTTAATAATGTATTTCCTTAGAAAATAAATGCATTAAAATCCTTTCTGTTTTATCACTCATCTGTGCCCGATCTGTACCAAAAATGGGATTCTACACTACTTCAGGGAGCTAACTTTTTCAGCTTTGGATTTAAACATAAATCTAGTCTTTTTGAGTTTTATGTTTTGCTTTCGTGTTAATATAATGGTTGAGTGCGTAACCTAATGGTCTATAGTGCGTAACCTAAAGAAAGAAACAACTAAAATGCAGATACACATGGTTTAATCATATTTTGTCAGGCTACTTTGAGCATGTCCGATGATGACGTCAGACAAGCAGTTTAACAGAGAATATGTTAAAAGCATCAAAATTGTCTAAAAAAACTCAAAAATTTTTTCAAAGATGTGCATAAGCATTCTTTAGTGAGTTAAGGATAGAAATAAGTAATCTTAGTTACATAATAACATTATTTATGGAAACCCGGATGTTTATCTGATTGTGCAAAGGAACCGATCATACTTCCTGTACGGATCCTGCAGTGAGAATTATCCATGATCACTAAATAAGCAGCTATATCCTAGAATGCGCAGAGAGCTCTCCTCGCAAAGCATTATGGAATATGCTGTAATAGCAGCCCGCTGTCACCATAGGCTGTCTCTACCACACAGCATCAACTAATAACAAAGATGGGCAGGCAACCTGCGGTGGAGGCGGAGATATGTGACCAACAGGGAGCTAAAAGCAGTGATCATCTGCCCAAACGGTAAGTTAACTGAGTTTGCTATAAAGTCCACTATATAGTCCTCGCCTATATAGTGATTGAGGGATCTAGGGGTTATGGCGGATGTTCAGACACAGACACAGCCAAAATGAAAGATCAGCTGAAAAAGCATAAAGTTAAAGCTTCTGTCTGTGGTTTGATGGAAAAGTAAAAATTTCATTAGGTTAAGAGGCAAGAGCTGACTAAAAACCAGAAGAAAAGAGTTCTGTAAAACTGAACTCCTATGCTCTGTCAAACTTCAGAAAGCCAGACTCATCATAAAGCAGGTCGGCTGTTTGGAGAGTAGAGCATAGAAAGAAGCTGATGCAATCCCTGGCCTCGCTCTGCTGAGGCCTTCAGGGGCTCAGCTGCAGGGTTCTGGCCCAACAACAGCTGCCACGCTGCAGAGGCCTCATTCGGGAAGCACTCCCTGAACTCATGCTCACACAAACACAAAACTGCGTCCCAGTCTGCAGCCAGCAAACACTTGGCTTATGAGAGAACTTGCTCTCTCCTCTTTGAAAGACTGAACGATTTCGGGGTGAGCTCATTTCCTCATAAATCAGGCTGTGTGCTGAAAAATGCTGCGTTTGCACGGTTTCCAATCAAACCAAAGCACGGCCTCATGATTCTCTGCTCATTTGTGTTCGTTGATCACTAAAACTTTTCCAGTGTGGCGTCAGGGAAGGCGAAGCAGGAGGAGAAAGCAGCTGAAACCTTTAAAGAAGACAAATTTTCCATCGTGTCGCTCATAGGCTGCGTCGATGTTGTCAGGGAGACCGTTCCAGAAGACGGATATCGGCATGGGGTAGTTATCTATGACCCGGTTCCTCCGAACCCGCCAGAACCAGCGTCCCTACAAAAGCAACCAAGTAATGATGTTTATTGCTCTCTTTTTATTCAGCTGTTTTAGATTTTGAAAACGGAGCTCACCTTAAAAACAAACATCTCCCCCCGCAGCATGGTCACCGTATCAAAGCCCCCATCACAGATATTCGGTGGCTCCTTGTCTGGCACCTTGGGAGGCCTGGGTTGAGGGGGAACATCTCTTCTGTCAGGTGGGGTGACAGGGTCCGGTTCGGGTCCTGGTTTGGGCCCAGATTTGGTGGGAGTAGATGTGGGCGGAGCGTAAGGGAATTTGGGGCTTGGATCTGGCTGGGCTGGGGGGTCCAGGTGGCCTTTAGTCGGGATGGGGGATTCAGAAGGGGAATGGGTGGGTGACAACGAGATGGGTTTATCTTCAGGAACCACAGGGGAGGTGGGGGAGCTGTTGTTGGGCTGATCATCATACGAGGGAGGAGAAGTGGGCGGAGCATCAGAGACCAGCGGAGGACCTATGAAAGAAGCAAAGGAGACGTTTTAAGGACGTAGGTGACTGAGGGTCAGAACCACATTTCTGAAACAGTTTAGTTCATGTTCATTTCCACATCTTCTCCCTGAGGGTTCTATCTTCTAACCACAGTTTATCTGTGATTTCCTGTGATGGACTGATGACCTTTGCTGGAGGTACACAAAATCTCCAGTTTGTTTACAAAAAAACTTTTATTTCTGTCTTTATAGAGAGTTTAAACACCTTAAAGCGGGAAACCTCAGGCTTTTGGTGAAAGTTACTTCATTTTAGCAAATGTTTGCATCAACAGGCCAAGTTTCATGTATTTTACATGCAAAGGTCCATTTGATTCATCCAAAGATGAAAAATAACACTGCACATAATTCTGAGCACATCATTATAACTATAAAAACACACTGGTAGCAGCATCATGATGTGAGATTCTTTTCTTTAGTAGGGCCTAGTCAAAGTATAGACCTAAATCCAACAGAGGATCTGTGGAAACAGATGTTCTCAGATGCTTTGCCTGATTTTTAGATGTTTTACAAAGAAATCTGTAGAGGTTTAAGCAGGACGAGACAAACAACAGACCCGCAGCTCATAGGAAGTGAAGGTATTGAAGCTTTTTGTGGATGTGTGTGTTGTAATCCCTCACACGTCATTAATGCCAGCTAAGAGCCATTGTTCTCTTCCTGCAGTCGCAGATATTTCCATGGATCAGTCCAAGCAGCTGCAATAGGAACCAGTGTCCAGCAACTCTCCAGCAGAACAACACAGTCAAACCAGAAGACTGGAGCTGAATTATGTAGAAATGTTTACTCCAGAACACAGCAAGCTGCTCACTCTGTAACTCCACTGTTTGGTGTTACGAAGGTCATGGATGTGGCTGGATTTAAAGGTCAGCAGCTGCCAAAATCAGGAAAGTAACGGGAATGGATGGAGTATTTTAAAACTCCCTGAATTTATCACCGTGCTCAACCTCTTCCTAATTTATCACATCAGATAAATTGTGATTGGATGCCCTCTGGACTCAGTGCAGGAGGTGGGGGAATGAAAGGATCCTAATCAAATTAAATCAATACCTCTGTCGGATAATGTCTCCAACCCCATGCATAAAGCTGTTGTAGAACTGGAGAGCTACTTCAGTGACAGACTGCTGCACCCTAAATGCACCAGGAAGCGTTATCACAGATCCTTCCTCCAGCAGCTGCAAGACTTTATAACCACCACTGTTCCCATCAACCTCAATAAGTTGTTACATTCATGCTGATTTTGCATAGTTTCTGTCTTAGTCAGTTAAATAACAACATTCTTGCACATCTCTGGTGTTGCTCTATTTTCACATATCCATTAGTGTAAAATGTCCACAGCTGTAGATTGATTATTTATTCTCTAGATACACAGTATTTATATATTTATTTACACTGTACTGTACAGTTTTTTATTTGTTTATTTTTTTTATGTAGTCACTTATTTTGTTATTTTCACCCACTTTTTAAGGTCTGCATTTGTGTGACCACTTTTGCTATAATCTGGCCTGGATGCATCTGTTATAATCTCAAACATTCCTTCATCTAAGAACCTGCAAGACATTTTAGATGTTTTGAAAACATTTCTGATGTGCTGTGGTCTTCACCAGAATGTATCTGAAAGGGGGGTAATCATCAAACTAGGGGGGCTTTTTTTCTACAGTTTATAATGAAAATAGATGCAAACAAAAACAGAGGTGCATCCACTACTCTCAAGTCTGCAAAAATCAACAACAAGGTGGACAATAATGATAAATAATAATAAATAATGTGGGTTTTCTGCTATTTAATTAAAACATATAAAAACAGGTGTAGAGTATAATGTAGTATATGCACTGTCACCATCAATTCACTGTATTTTATTGCCCCAGATCTGAAAAAAATTAAATAAAATCATAGAAATAAATTTGAATTAATCAGTGACATCCAGTGAAGTAGATGTAGGGTTTTTAATGTGTCAATTAATAATAAATGTAGAATGACCTATAAGAAATTTGTTAAATTACATGCCCCCAAAGGATTTTTGCTAAGAACGTTTCTCGTTGTGTGTAGAAATTAAGCAAAACACTTTATCTGAAATAATAGAGACAATAAACAAAACAAAATGTATTTTGCCTAAAAATATCTATCATTAGAAGCTCTATGTTATTGGTGCACCAGATTTCTTTTTTGTCCTACATGATATTTTCAATAAAATCAAAGTGGAGAACCCCTACCATGAATATTATGATAGCGATAGCAATGCTTTAAAATTACAGGACTTTGAATTATATATAAAATAATACCAAAAATGGCAGAAATATTCATACATTTTAAGTAATTGTAATGACCTGGCTGGACAGCTGCACCACATAATATTTTGACAGTAAAAATAATTGAAAAGAAATTACAAGATAAGATTTTGTTTTAAGTTATAGTGATGGCATCTTCCGAAGATGTAGTACTGATATATTATATTGTTATAGATTTGATGTATAGATGTATATATATATATTTTTTAAATATCCCAACAACCTGTTTCTATAGAAAAGAATAGAATTCAACTTTATGTAAATGTAGTTTGCATCTATCCAGAAGTGCTATACATACTATAAATATTTATTTACATGTGCACAGAGACTACGTGTGTATTGACTATAAATGGTATATATAAACAGAGAGTGATTGTAAGAGGCTATAAAATAAATATGAAGACTATATACAGATTATAGAGGAAAGCTAGGAGATATGTATATATATATGTATATATATATATATATATATATATA